AGTCCTTGTTGATCTCACCAAGAAAGAAAACAAGAGGTGTGCCATCGGGTCTGAAATGTATTTATTTATGGAGCCCCTCAGACCACAAAGTATACAATAAAAAAAAGCAGATAAAATATGGACCCCGTATAGCTATACATAGAAAACATAAACAAGATGAAGGATGTCGTTAATAAATTGTTAAAAATATCTGAAGAAAAAAAAAAAATCTGTGACATAACATTATATATAAATGCTTTTCTCTCTGGCTCATCATAAAGTCTCACAGCTCAATAAAACAATCTTCTCCAGCTGAGCCAGTCTAGGATACCACCTTGAACCCAAAGTTATTGGCGGTATACAGAACCCACAATGTCCTCTAGCCATAGTCATTGAGCCATCATCTATACAATCTTGGTCCTTTTTGTAGATCATGGTAGGAAATTGGAAATGTTATATTTCAGGGAGAACGAATGGGATGGATTGAAAAGACAGACGGGTGTTTCTCTGTTCTCCTTCAGTTCTATATTGCTGTGGATCTAGCTAGGAGGACCACTTATGTTGGAGAGCAGTTGATCCAGTTATGGCTTTGACTTAAAGCGGTTTGCTTTTTGTTTTGGTGAGGCAAAATAGTAAAATATTTCAATGAGTGGGTATAAAAATGTCGATAAATGATAGGTGAGGCGAACCTACCCTAGTTTTAGTTCCAAGTTGCTGAGGCCCACCACAATTCTTCCCAGCTTGGTGGAAGAACCAATAAGAACATACTCTTTCAAAGGCTTCTACATCCTCAATCGAAAAGGGACATCACTTTTGTGTTCAATATAGAACACTGCCAAGGCACCATTATATTACATATCTCAAAGTGATATTTTATCTACAAGTGGTGGCTGGTGGGCTGAGTCAGCTCCTGGCTTTTTGTGTGTCTTGGACGATCCAAGAGTGAAATCTCTCTTCCATAATTCCCAGCTCTGTTCCTTTCCTCCTGGGAGTTTTGGATGTTCCTGGCCACCATTGCATATTCCATATCCTCCTGGAACATTATTCATAATATAAAAATAAATACAAAATCCAGAAAGGATAATGGGAGCCACTCATCATGGTCCCAGCAGGTGTGCAGACCCCTAAATACAACACAGGGATCACTTCCTAATAAACAGAAGACTGTCTGGGGGATTTAACTCTCCTACCAAGCATCAAGATATCAATTTTGGGTAAACTGACCCTTTAAAAGGTCAACTTGACCCAACACTGATATACCAAATTTTTGTATTTGCTATCAAGCTGAATCACACACTAGCTTCTTATTCCTCTAGTGGTCAGACAACCCCACCATTCAAATGCCATGGCAATGTTAAAGTCAAATGATAGCATCATACTTCCTTGATGGATTCTCTAGAACAGCCATTCTCAACCAGGGTTTTTTGGAATCCTAGGGCTCCTCCAGAGGTTGCTAGGGGTTCCTTGAGCTGCGGCTTTTTGACCTTCCATTTGATGGTGCCTGTGTATATCCAGGACAATCAACACTTGGTAAAGTCAGCAGTATGATACCAATTATATTTTTTTAGCTGTCTGTAAGGGTTCCAATATTCCTATTGACCAGCAATGTAAGGGGCAATTGACTCCCAACTAATTGTTTTTAGTAACGGTTCCTTAGAGACCTGAACATTTTTTTTTTAGAGGTTCCCCTGGGCTGAAACGTTTGAGAAAGGCTGATCTAGAATGTATAATAATAAATATGTTTGGGAATGGTGACCCTGACAGAGTTACAATTTTTTTTCAATGGCTTTGTAGGAGAGGGCAGAGACACATTATTACTGATTGGCCTCAGCATTGGGGACTCAGGCCCCCCAACAGGTGAATCAACCCACTGGTGCACATGCAATTGGGAAATATTGTTTTTACAGCAATTACATTTTGTGAAACATCTTCTAAGACATTCACCAATATGGTAAGAGACAGACCTCAGTGCAATCACCCTTAAAGAACTCTGTGAAATGACCTGTATATCTACAGACCAAAAAAAAAAAGAAAAGAAATGAAAGAGTGTCCCTATTCTTTAGAGCACGAATGTGTAGAACAAATGTTGGTACTGCTGCTCACGCCAATGTTGATTTGTCAATGTTTACTATAAACGCATATAATTTACACGTTTATTTCATTATTATTATTTTTCTTGGTATAGTTGGAATTCAAATGATGATTTTTTCTTCAGTAGCGCACGGTATAGGATTTATCACTAGTAACATTTGTACTGAGCGGCACTTATTCGTTTATATTGCACCAATATGTTTACCAAAAGCTACACACCCATATAGAAAAGGTAAAAGACACATTTTGGGGAGATATTAATGATACAAAATCTGCACTCATCAATACATTATTGCATGCATTTTTTTTAAATGCAAGCAGTTTAAGTACCTGGATTTTGGCTTGATATTGGTCTGTTGCAGTCCCTGTACAGCAGAGCTCAGACTGGGGGAGGACACGCAGTCAGTTGCCGTGCAGTAATCGTGCTAACAAGGGACATATTGATAGCAGATGAGTGCACAGTGACAGAGAGATGAGCGTATCAGTCACTGTTCTTCCTTTTATCGTCCAGTTACAGGATGAAGGAAGGACAAGACTTGTCAGTGTTACTTATCTGCGGCCGACAAAAAAAATTAGGTCCTCTGCCAGGGGCGGACTGACAACTCATGGGGCCCCCGGGCAATAGGGGATCATGGGGCCCCTGTGTCCTTGCCCACACTCAAACCATACCCAAAAAAGCCTATGAAAGGTACCAGGGGCATCTCATGGGGCCCCCTACTGACCCAGGGCCCTCGGGCACTGCCCGAGGGCCCGAATGGTCAGTCCGCCTGTCCCCTGCTGTGCCAGACAAAGCCGTAGTGTGTGGCATAGCTGTGTAAATCTTAGGACTGGATAGGCAGAAATGAGATTCCCATTAACTTCCTGTACTGGTGGCATTGTCTTCAACAAGACAGCAAGTGAAGGGAAATCTCTCCAACAGATCCTCGGACAACAGTAAAACCAAGCAGAGGTTCTAACTTTTCCTCAACCTACCAAAATTAAAAGTTTTGCCTTGAGTTATACTTTTATATCTCTTTACTGGTACACTGGGGCTAGAGCTGCATATTCCAGCCTTTAGTAAATGTTTCTTTTACATTGGGAGGCAAAGTGATGAAGGAAATATATATATTCAGCAGCAACTTTATACAGATGTTCCCCATCAGGCGTTGAACACTATTGACAACCCCTGCAAAATGGTGAGGAGGCTTAAAATTACAAGAGAAAGCCACAGAAAAAGAAAAAGCATGTATATAAGTAAAAAAAATATTATGTATACATCAATTTATCTCTGCCAGAGGGTCCATCATAGCTACAAGAAGGTTTGTGTGGGTCTGATGTTAGATCAGGAGAGCGCAGTTGTCATTTAGACATCACCATATGAGAGAAAAGACAGCTAACGAAGCCAGACTTGTCCTGTCCAATGTGGTAGGTATTGATGAGTGTATAGGACAGCCATTCTCAAGCAGGGTTCCTCCAGAGGTTGCTAGGATTTCCTTGAGCTGTGTCTTTTTGAACCTCCATTTGATGGTACCTTCATAGTTTTAGGACCATCAACACTTGCTTAAGTCAGCAGTATGACACCAATTATTTTTTTAGCTGCCTGCCTGTAAGGGTTGTGTTATTCCTATTGACCAGCAATGTGAGGGGCCATTAACCCTTTAATATTTGGCTTTAGTAACAGTTTCTTCGAGACCTGAAGATTGTTTTAGGGATTCCTCTGGGTTAAAAGGTTTGAGAAAGGCTGGTATAGGACATAACAGCCTTGTCATAGGGTTTATTTAATTTAAAAAAAAAAAAGTACAAACCAAAGCCAGAAGACTCTGCAAGTCTTGTCATTCTGCAAATAAAGTTAGCAGGAGGAGAAAACAGTATGGAAACCCTTTTTGTGCCAAGATGTGTCAAGGGTTTGCGATTTGTTACGATCGCTTAACACTCTTACACATGTATTAAATACAGAGAATGTGTCTACCAGATAATAAAGCAGTGTCAGGGTGTGTTAGAACTGGCCCAGAACTACGAAGCAAGACAGGTCACATTTGTATACTCAAAGCTGGTGAAACCCAAAAGAGAAATGATGCCTACGTACAAATGAGTCCATCTTCTAAAACGATAGGCAATGGTTTATTGGGGGTCTCTTCAGTTAGCAACTTGGTGGCTCTTTTAGATAAGCCTCTACATGGTCCTCTTATATAGGTAATGAATGGGGAAGGATGGGTGAATCTTAGATAAGCAAAGGGTTGGTTTGTCTCATAGATAAATGAGTTGGTGGATATGTTAGATAGACAAACTTGGCGAGTCTTTAGATACACAATTTGGTTGCTCTCTTAGATAGACAAGTTGGTAGATGTCTTAGATAGACAAAGGATTGGTATCCCTTTTCCGATAGGCAAGTTGTCATATAAACAAAGAATTTGTGTCTCTTCAATAAGCAGTGACTTGGTGGGCCTTCTAAAACGGCTAAACAATGAATTATTGGCTCTTTTAGATGGAAAAGCAATGACTTGATAAGTCAATCAGTTGTGCATCTTACAGATGGATAAGCCAGTGGTGGTGCGTGTCTTAGAAAGGCACTGGGTTGGCGCATCTCAAACATGAATGGGCATCAAGTTGGAGTTTCTGTTACATAGACTGGCAAGAAAGACAACAATTTATCTCTTTATAAATAGGCAATGTGTTGGTGTTTCTCTTAAATAGGCGATGGGTTGGTGAGTCTCACAAACAGACAATGAGTTGATGTTTGCTCCGGATAAGCAGAGAATTGATGGGTCAGCAAATAGTTGGTGCGTCTCATAGATAGACAGGGAAGGAGATACATGCCATTGCAAGCAATATCTTTGTATGTTTGTTGGATGGACCATCCCTGAAGAGTCAGAGAGTCTGTATCATAGATTGGCAGTGAATTTCGCAGTTCGTGGTTTAGGCACATAGTTCCAGATTACGGCAACGATGACTCATAAACTGGACACTTCTTTCAACTGTGCTGTGACGCCATTCATCTTTTCATTCAGTCGGCTGACGCGGTAGGTCTCGTAGTGTATATTGTGGGTTATGTCTTTCAGGTCCTGCAGGTTGGATCTAAAGGGAGATGAACGAAGGACAAAATCACAACGTTGGCAAATTATTACAAAATAACTTTGTAAATTATTTCTTAATGATGAGTGCCATACATGGATTATGGCAAGGAAACCCTGCTTGTATCACTGGGCTTACGCTAGGATTCTCAGCTGCTCGGTAGCCAGAAAGTCATATGGTACCACACAGCATAGGCTCACCTATATTATATGCGGATATGTTTTGCCTAGCTTATGTTATTATTATACAGGATTTATATATCTCCAACAGTGTGCTCAGCTACATAGTTAGTCTGGCTGAAAAAAGAAAAAAGTCCATCTAGTCCAACAATAAAAAAAAAATCATGTTACTCAATGACTCAAGTTGACACTCTCTAACTCTCTGACATCTGGTCAAATGGACATCATGTTACTCAATGACCTCTGGTGAAGTTGACACCCTCTAACTCTCTGACATCTGGTCAAATGGACATCATGTTACTCAATGACCTCTGGTGAAGTTGACACCCTTAACTTTCTGACATTTGGTCAAGTGGACATCATCAAACCCCCAGCAAAGAATGATCCAATTTGCTCCTGCTGGGAAAACATTCCTTCCTTATCCCCCGAGAGGCAATCGGGTATTCCCTGGATCTACTTTACCTATAAATGTTATATCCAGTTATCCAGTTATATTCTGTGTATCCAAGAAAGAATCCAGGACTTTCCTACAGCAATCCACTGAGCTGTCCAGAACCAACTCTTGAGGGAGTCTATTCCACATTTTCACAGCTCTCACTGTAAAGAAACCTTTCCGTGTTTGGAGATTAAATTACTTTTCCTCAGGATGTAAAGAGCGCCCCCTTGTCCTCTGTGACGACCTCAGAGTGAATAACTCTACACCGAGTTCACTATATGAACCACTGATGTATTTATACAGTCAGCGCTTTACAATATAATGGGAGACAATACAGTTCAATACAAGAGGGTTAGGAGGGCCCTGATCCTTGGAGCTTACAATCTTATATGTAAGGTCACCACAGAAACTGCATGCTGGAAATGCTTTAATACAAAGTAGTCGACTACCCGGCAACATTCATTGGAACAATTTTTATTGGCTACATAGCAGGATACAGCAGTAACATCCAAACCATTTCTGGCAACACTTCAGTCGAAAGGCGTTAGTGTGTTACTGCTGTATCCTGCAGTGTAGCCAATAGAGAAAAGTTTCCGCGGATGTTCCAGAGTAGCTGGCTTCATTGTATCAGTGAATTGTTGCTACATTTCAAAGACATTTGGGCCAGAGCACCGGTTCCCAGCCTCCCAGGTAATCTGCGACAGAGCATGCTTTCTTTGTGGACTATGCTGTAAACGCTGTTTCATGTAGCAACACAAATATCTGTGCTTCCTAAGTTTGTCATCAGCTGAAGATGAATATTTAATAAAAAAAGACTTTCTAATATTGGTGACTTCTTCAAACTGGCCCCAGATATGCATTTACATGTGCAGCCTCTATAATAGGAGTTTGGTGTCCTTTTATGAAACAGAGATCAGCGGTGATCCTGAGGATCGTTGCTGATCTCAGATCATTAGTGGTTTAGGAAACAGAGATGATCGGTGGAGAACATGTTCTCTGATCATCTCAGCACACAGATGGCCAGTGTATGAAGGAGCGATGTCAGCCCTTCACTGGTGATCTGTGTTCTCCCTCCAGATTCTCCAGCCCAGAGCTGGAGAATCGGAGGAACCGCAAACTAAGCAGAGATAATTTACCGCTGCTTAGTAAACGGTGTTTGACTGATCTCTTACTGTGATCTCACGACATTTATAGTAACAGCAGACGTTTACCAGCGTTTGTAGATCGCTTCTCCCTTCATTCAGAGAACTGATCTACACCGCTTCATAAAAAGGCATTCAGAGGAGAACTGTCTGCTCTGAGAATGCCGGAGAACTGAGCAGCGATCTTGTTTCACAGCATACTGCACTTCTTCACATGTACATGCATCAGAATGTACGTGAAACACATGTGATTGCAACTCAATAAAAAAAAAAAAAAAAAAAAGTTTGTGAACTTTTTTATATTGAGTTGCAATCACGTGTTTCACAATGCAAAAAAACCCCAAAAAAAACACTGCAAATGCATATAAATGTACATGCGTACCTGCATACTGAATGCAGGGATTATTATGTAAATGACCCCTATGAAATTTTATTTTGCAGTCATGTAACGCATCGCTTTCTTTATGGTCCTTCTTCCTCATAGAGGGACAGTCACTTTTCAAAGCAAGCAGATATTTTCTGTTTTTGCACACATTGGGGGAGTATTCTCTTCAATATTGTACGTAGCTAATGTTTTAACAGCCAGGCCACTGTCAATCAAGAATTCAGGGGTGTAGGGGGGCATGGCAGCTGATCTTTGTGCATCAGGATAGTGTCCTCTATGTTAAAAGAGGAAGCAGAGATCTGCAAACTGACCATCGATCTGCTGCCATGCTTGATGTGATCAGGATGAAAAATAAAGAAGGGAAGCTGGTAGGATCGCCAGGTATTTGAAAGAAACTTTAAAACAACATTTAATCATAGATACATACAGTATATAAGATATCATTTTTTTTTTGGGGGGGGGGGGGGGGGGCTTATATACACTTTAAAAAAATGTTTTGGGATAATATAGACTTTAACCCCTTCCTGCCCAGTGCCATTAGTACAGAGTCAGTGCTTTTTATTAGCACTGATCACTGTATTTGTGTCACTGAGGATGTCATTGAGACCAAGTCAGTTCCCCCTCAGTGTCAGAATGCCCGCCGCAGTCTCGCAATAAGTCGCTGATCACCGCCATTACTAGTAAAAAAAAAAAGTCCCAGTATATATAGCGTTTACAAATGGCAATATAACTTTCATACAAACCAATTAATTTACACGTATTGAGATTTTTTTTTTAGCAAAGACATGGAGCAGAATACATTTTGATCTAAATTTATGACGATATTTGATTTTTAAATTTTTTTTACTGGACGTTTAATAGCAAAAAGTAAAAAATGATATGAAGTGAATACTCATGAGCTACTAAGGTGGTATGATTAAAACAATACAAGTGACTAACTACTGTGAATGTAGTGGTGCTTCAACACTAATACACATACTCATAAAACTGTGTTGAAAAGACAATTAATAAATAATAAATATGTGTTGCGCTCCACCCACAAAAACTAAAATATAAATATTATAAATTCTATGCAATCATGTATGAATCCTCCCACTCAAATATGCAACCGTGCACAATCCTAATATGTACAAATACTAATACATATAAATAAGTGATTGAATTATAAATAATAAATACTAATAAATAAATGTGAACACCTAAGTGCTATAAATGATCAATGTGTAGTGAAAATGCATTACTAATAAATAAATATAATCTAGTTAAATTAATAATGTAAAATTCTCTAAGAGAAATATTTTATAATTGCATAGACATAACAATATTATAAATGAATTATACAAGTGAAATAGGACAATAGCGTAATATAAAATAGGGGATATAAAAAAAATCCCAGAGGAAGGAGAATATTATCACAGTCCATTTAACATCATTTACATACAGGATCGTAGTATGAATATCTACATTTTGTCCAGTTAAGGACAAAAAAGCCCATATAGCCTTGCTTAACGGTTGGGCCATATAGTGAGGTGATCATATATATTTCTCAGCACAGCAAGATCATTAGGAGGACTATTTTTGTATTATCACACAATTCTTTATATCCCCTATTTTATATCACGCTATTGTCCTATTTCACTTGTATAATTCATTTATAATATTGTTATCATGTCTATGCAATTATAAAATATTTCTCTTAGAGAATTTTACATTATTAATTTAACTAGATTATATTTATTAGTAATGCATTTTCACAACAAATTGATCATTTATAGCACTTAGGTGTTCACATTTATTAGTATTTATTATTTATAATTCAATCACTTATTTATATGTATTAGTATTTGTACATATTAGGATTGTGCACGGTTGCATATTTGAGTGGGAGGATTCATACATGATTTGCATAGAATTTATAATATTTATATTTTAGTTTTTGTAGGTGGAGCGCAACACATTTTTATTATTTATAAAAAGTCAAAAATATTGGGGTTTTTTCTCAAAATTGTCGGTCATTTTTTTTTTTTTTTTATAGTGCAAAAAATAAAAACCTCACAGGCGATCAAATACCACCGAAAGAAAGCTCCATTTGTGGGGAAAAAAAGGATGTACATTTAATTTGGATGCAGCGTTGCATGACAGTTAAAATAACGCAGAGCCATAACGCAAAAACATGGCCTGGTCAGGAAGGGGGGGGGGAATGCTCTGGCGGGCAAGGGGTTAAAACTCTTTTTGCTGTAGTACCCCATAGGTACCAGTAGGGGGTAGTGCAGCACTAAATTTCACCATCAGAATTCCTATAGGACACATTGTATATCTATATTTCACATCTCACCTGATCAACAAATCCCTCAGATCAGCAAATTCACAGTGTGACGTGTTCTCAACTGCAAGATGAAAAAGAAAGACATGAGCCAAACTAAAGGCAAGAAGGAGAACCAATAGAACCAAAATTCTTCAATGAGAATAGGTTCAGTTCACACAAATAAAGGTGGCCACACAAAACTTCAGGTCATTGTTGGATGCAGCTACAATGATTGAACCAAATCAAATATCACAAATAAAAGACCCTCTGTATGATCCACATAGAGAACTCTGGATTGCGGCGCAATTTTGTCAATTGCTTCTGATTGCTCCGACAAATATTTCTGTGTGTGTGCGCCAGAGAACCAACCGGAATACAGATCAATTAAATGGCTGTTTATGATTACGACTGGTCCAGGGTGTTCTCCATTGGTACTTTCAGCCAATTGCAAAGCATGGAACAATGGCATGTGAGATCCATCATTTGATAACTAGTATGGGTGCCCAACCTGCGGCCCTCCAGCTGTTGCAGAACTACAAGTCCCATGAGGCATTGCAAGCTGCTGACAGTTACAAGCATGACTCCCAATAGACAGAGGCATGATGGGACTTGTAGTTTCGAAACAGCTGGAGGGCCACAGGTTGAGCACCCATCCGTGCAACAACTGTCAAGAACACCTCAAACACATCATCCCCCGGATGAAGCTACGAAATCCCTGTAGCGCAACGCGTTGGGGAGTGGCAGTGACGTCATCGCGCATTTTATCTACGATACGGCGAGTACTGAAGGTGTGTGGACACACACCCTTCGTTTGGATTCAGCTGAAGGCTGTAGGATATCATACAAATACAAAGCGCAAATGTATTATTTTAAATGTGAGTGCAATATGGAAGCACATTAAAAGCTGTTTGACCCCTGGGATAAGACACCATATCTTTTATCTTTTTTTGCATGAGACACACGAGGAATACAAAGGCAGAGGACTAAGGAGTGGATCAAAGGAGGGAGTATCCCTCACAGTCCTGTAATCACACAGGTTTTCAGCATTACTGCAAAGACCATATCTTCACACTGAAGGAGAGTATATCTATCTAGGCTGGATATTCATTTTTTGCACATTGGGACATTATTGTTGTTTTTTCACATTGGACTTTTTATTATTTAATTTTCATTTTTATTATATATTTTTTATTATTTAATTTATTTAATTTTTATTTTTAAATGTATTGATTTTTCATTCACTTTATTATATTATTGCATTTTTATATGATGAATTTCTTGGAGGTTCACCAATGGAAGATTTGTACATTGTAATAGGGATTGCACATATAGTGACCTGCGAATATGTTATGAATTTATTTTTCACAAGTTTAATTTTATTTATCTAATGAATCACGGTATATCAAATATCACTTATATATAGTTTTTTTTTTTTATTTATTTATTTATTTACAAGCACTTTGCACTTTTGATTTAAACTAGAGCAAGGCAATTATTTAAATGATTTGTTTGTCAAAAACAACTGTCACTTTTTTTGTAATGCAAACACTAGGGTGTTTGCATTACAAAAAAGTGACAGTTGTTTTCAGGCAATGAGAATATCACATGGGTTGGAACGGAAAGAATAAGGTTCTTTATCTTTGAGTTTAAGCTTTGTGCATCGAGTCTAAAAATGTTTATTAACAAAACAAAGCAAAAAAAACCCTCCAATATAAAACTGAATATTAATTATAAGTTATTGGTTCATTATTAACAGGGCCAGGACAAGGGGTGGCCCGGAGAGGTTGCAGCCTTGGACACAATGGTTTACTGTAGGGATGGGGGCATCTTCCTTTGAATGAATGAATGAATGTGTGTGGGGGGGAGTTTGGCATTCTTGCCCTGGGCACTGGATGACCTTGTCCCAGCACTGATTATTAATACTGCAATAATAAAGCTTAAGGTGTCACTAAACCCACAACAGTACAGTCTGTATATGTACTAAAGCATGCTTGTTATACTCACTGTGGAACCTAAGGGGTTAATCCTCTGCATTGTGTAAAAAGGCTGTTTGATCCTGTCTTCTCTGATCCTCCCCTTCTTCTACTGTCCCTAATCCATCTGCTGATGTTACAGAGCTCTAGGAGTTACTCTGCACATGCTCAGTTTAGTGTGTATGGCTAGAGAGGTTTTGCTTTCTGGGAGGGTGCATGTGATCAGAACTGTCCAGAGAGAGGCTCAGGGGTTATGCAGCTTAATAGGACTGCCAGAGGAGAATTAAAACTCCTCCTACAAGATTAACTAGTGCTTAGCTGGACACTGATAGAAGTCGCAAGACTGCTATATACGGCTGATAAGAAAAGGTATTTAGCAGTTTATATTTACTAAAATAATTGCATTTGCATGTTCTGTGTACTGTGGGAGACCAGATTTAGTGAATGCAGGGTCCGGGGAGACCAGATATAGTGAATGCAGGGTCCTGGAAGACCGGATATAGTGAATGCAGGGTCCTGGAAGACCGGATATAGTGAATGCAGGGTCCTGGAAGACCAGATATAGTGAATGTAGGGTCCTGGGAGAACGGATATAGTGAATGCAGGGTCCAGGGAGAGCAGATATAGTGAATGCAGGGTCCGGGGGAGAGCAGATATAGTGAATGCAGGGTCCGGGGAGAGCAGATATAGTGAATGCAGGGTCCGGGGAGAGCGGATATAGTGAATGCAGGGTCCGTGGAGAGCTGATATAGTGAATGCGGAGTCCTGGGAGAGTGGATATAGTGAATGCAGGGTCCGGGGAGAGTGGATATAGTGAATGCGGGGTCCAGGGAGACCAGATATAGTGAATGCGGGGTCCGGGGAGAGCGAATATAGTGAATGCAGGGTCCGGGGAGAGTGAATATAGTGAATGAGGAGTCCTGGGTTCAGTAGCACTTTAAGTCTAGGGTCACACTAGACGGTACAACTGTGCAAGATGGAAGGGAAGGCTTTAGGTCAGCAGTTGAGTCTAATGGGGTGTTAAAAAAAAAAAAAAAACTAATTATTAATTACTAATTAATTAATTATATTCAATAAATTATTTTATTATTTATTTGTATTATATTAATTTTATTATTATATTAAATAATTAATTATATTAATTATACTGGAATATTATTATGCCTTGCAACGTATTCAGGGATTGGTACACCTTTATATGAAATCCTTCTTTCCCCGCTGACACTTCTGATACTTTAAATTGATACTTTCTTGTCGTTTCTCATTTTTGTGAACGGTTGATATAAGCAGCATTGAAAGACGGTGACAAATATTGTTGAATTGCAATCTAAGGCTTCAGCAGCTATTTTCTAAGGAGCCCTCCTTTAATAATGAAAGGGCAAAATGTTCCCCCGTCTTTGGGTAGGTGGTCTGGTCCACATGGGTGATGGTGGATCTACAACCACAAGCTGGCTGCTGCTGGGGGGTGGTGGTAAATGCCATCAGCGGAGGGGTCTTGTCTCCATTACAGAGCAGGAGACATCGCTCTCCAGCACAGCACGGCTATGCCAAACAACAGCTGGAAAGTCTCCTTCATCACTAGCTCCCTCCCTGCACACAAATCCTTCTGATGGGGACCAGATGCAGGCCTCCTACCTCCCTCCCTTCACCCAGGAACCTGATACTGTGCTACAGCTAATGGATGAGCTATGGAGGGGGGGACAAGACAACCTCCAATATTAATCCACAGGTGTCAGGAGAAAAGTAGCTTCCATGCCGAGGTTACACGTTGACTACCAGCAGTCCAAATCTGAATTCCGGGGCTTAGCGTACATTCAGGTTGTGGGGGAATCATTTGTAAGTGTAAATTGTGGAATGGCCGGGGGAGTCGTAAACATGACAAATATTCTGATATGTGGAGCTGAGATATTCCTCCAGATGCCTCACCTTCGATGATGCCCCACTTGGTTTTCCGTCCCAGGACCCTCCTGCCGTTGACCTGATGTTCCTCGTCAGTACCTACCACAGCGAACGGGATTTTCTGCTGTGAAAGAAGAGATGAGAAAAAGCTTATAGATTTGTATATTCTGCCGTGTTTTATTTTAGGTTTGGATCTAACATACCACAGAGGAACAAGCAGGCGTCCATTGATGACCTCCTATTGACTTAAAGCCCAACTGAATTTTCAGTTTAAATTAACTAAATACATTCCAGTTCCATCAAAAGAAAAGGTGTTCAATGTCTTACAGCTTGTTTTCTTTAACCACTTGCCCAGGGATGTATTTACCGGAAGGCATTTGCCTACGGCGGCATTGTTCAGGGGGGGGGGGCAGCATTTCCCCACGGAAGAAGGGACACATGTGGTATGGGGACCTGGTGGGTTCCGAGAGATGCTGTGGGTCTCATGAAGGTGTATGCACAGCCCGACTCTTGTTCCCGGGGATGTCCGTAGCTGTGAAGGTGAGTGTCTTTCTCTCTCTCTCACCATGGGGGATGGTGGCTGGTGTATGGGGGGCGGTGGCAGTGGAAGGCTCTCTTGGGTGGGAGGCAGGGGTATTGTTGGTCAATGTCTAGGGCAGCACAAAACCTAACTATACCACTGCACGTGCCTACAGGGCACTTTTACCCCCTTGGTGCCCAGGCCCATTTTCAGCTTTCTTGGACAGAGCTGATCACGTAGTAAAAGGCTGCTGTGATTTGCCTTTTACTCCATCACATGATCAGCTGTGTCCATAGGACACATTGATCACGGAAAGCACGGGAGGGCGCATACTGGGAGGACGTCATACGATTCCCTCCCAGAACTGGACAACTGCACTGTAGCTGTTATTTGGCCATAGCGCGTTGGCACGTGGTTAAAAAGCTGCCACAGCCTAAGTAGACAAGCCTGTCCCCTGTCAGAATACTGTTCAGAAGGATCCTTGGTCTCTGTGTGGAAGCAGTGGTCTCTCTGCAGAAGTCAGACTCACCTCCTGCTGAACTAGAGCTTTCCAATCAGCAGAAAGCATGAGCTTTGCTGATCTCAGAGCAATAGGATGTCATTCGAGACACAATCTACAGTTTTTACGGCTTAGGTCCGCTTTAGGATTCTTCCCCCACTGTAGCTCTTCAGGTGAGCAAAGTTTGGAGGTACAACCAGAGGGACAGGTAGGCATTACTCCTGTTTTTTTCAGGCTATAAAGAAGTGTGCTTAAATACAACTCAGAACTCTGATGCTGGGTACAGACAAGAAGGTTTTTTTGGTGTTCAACCCAGCGGGCTGAATGAAAAAAAAAAAACCGAAAGGTCGCCGTCAATGGTGTATTTAGGTTATGTGCTGCCCTAGGCAAGACAAAAATTGGCTCCCTTTCCCCCCATGGAGAGACCCTGACACCGACCTACTCCCTCCCCATGAAGAGTGCCTGACATTGACCAACAACACCCCAGCCCCCCCACCTGAGAGGGCCTTCCACTACCACCGCCCCCCATACACTGGCAATTCCCCCCCACTCCTGCAAAAGAGAAGACACTCACCTTCACAGCTCCGGACATTTCTGGGAACAAGAGTCAGGCTCTGCATACACCATCAAGCAGCCCTCAGCCTCTCTCAGATCCCACCTGGTCCCCATGCTGTATGTGCCTCTTCCTTCATTAGGGGGGCGGCACTGCCCCCCTGAAAAGTGTCGCACTAGGCAAATGCCTTGTTTGCCTTATGGTAAATATGCCCCTGGCTGCCATACTAAGGAAGCAATGTTAATGAGGCAATCTTCCCAGCTGAGCTATTGTGTTCAGCCAATCTTCAGGACGAAAAGTTATGTAGATGAATCCAGACTTTGACAATGCTCACCCGAATTTTGTCATTAAGTAGCACCTCTGCCGTGTCTTCATCCAGCTCTGGCTGCGGGTATACACTAATGCCGTTAGCCTGCAGGTCCTTCCTTATCTACAAATGAAAGCGATAGGAAAGTCAACATTTTTGCATGTGATGGCAATGGGGCCCAGTTTTAAAGTGAACCATTTATGGCAAAGCAGTAGGTTCGATACCCCCTCTCCAGGTGTACATACTCAGTTTTCATGCATTTCCTCACCACTCTGTGCACCCACCAAGATTTGAAAAAGACCGCCCTCTGTAGGTTCTGAGCTGTTCCAGCTAGAGCTTACACAGAGATGCAGAGCCAGACCTACCCGGCCTCTATGTGGCAGTGCTGGGCCAATCACCAAGCATCAATGCTGTCACATGCTCCTAGATACCCAGATGTACTGGATATTATCTTCACTCCTTCATTGTTGAACAGTGGAAGAAGAAAAGGTGAGTATGTGCTGCTTGGCATTGTAGCAGGCCCACCTCAATGACAAGGTCTGCTCATTTAAGGTGTCCCCCTCCCTAAAACTCTGCATAACAGGTACCGGTGTTGAAGAGTGGGATAGTAAGGTATTAAACATACCTTTCCCTGACTTCTGTAGTGCAGGAGGTGACGATACACTTTTGTCAACAGGATCCTTAGGAATACCGAGTAGCCCAAAAAAGAAGAAGCGGCAGAACTGCAGTGCAGGATTGTCTACTCTCGATATTTGGGCTACTCAACATTCTGTCCAGGAGCAGGATGACGTCACCCTCACTAAGGCACTGCAGGAGGAAGCCAGGAAAAGTATATGATCCTCCTCCATCGGTACATTACGCAGTGTTTTCAGAAGCGGGCAACTTGAATAAGTAGACCTGGCCACTGAGGTAGAAGGTCTGCTTTCAGCTTTATGTTGTTTTGGTGTACATTGGCAATGCCAATGGTGCTAAAAATTTTTGGTCCAAGGTTTTGGTTTTTAATTATGCCTTAGAGAGCGACCAATCCTATGCAAACCTACTCTGAAAGATGACAGTCAGATATTTTATTTATTTATTTCAGGTACTTATATAGCGCCATCAATTTACGCAGCACTTTACATATATATTATACATTCACATCAGTCCCTAACCCTCAAGGGGCGTACAATCTAAGGTCCCTAACCCTCAAGGGGCGTACAATCTAAGGTCCCTAACTCACATTCATACATACACATACTAGGGACAATTTAGACAGGATCCAATTAACCTACCAGCATGTCTTTGGAGTGTCTTTTGATATGAGATTAGCATGCAGAAAAAAAAAGGAAGATTCTAAACATGTATACAGGCATTAGAATTTTCACTGAGACCCTGATATTTAATATTTTGAAAGGGTTTGGTTAACTATTTAAAGATAGGGTAGTTAGCTGAAAATGAAGGTTGAAAGCTAATTCTCTACACTAATGGCACCCTCTTTTCTGACGAAGTCGGCCAACAGCACTGGTCCCTGGTAAAGTACTGAGTATGCTGACTGTTCTGCTGCCTGCCATTTATTTAGACATACTTTATGTTAGGTCAATGACAGTAGAGAGGTTGCCAGAGGGGATAGGGCATTAAAATGTTGCTATGGGGCATCATGATCTGTAGTTTCGCCCCTGCATAGGAATGAGAAGAAAAACTCTCTAAAGTAGTAGACTGTGTCCAAAATGTAAGCCACAAGGTTGATGAAAGTCAAGCTGGTGATCCCGGCTCCATTATCCTGTATGCAAACCAAGCCAGGCTTACACTGATCTCTGATCGGAAAGGCCTGGAAGATGTTTTTAGACAGGAGCCAATTAACGTAGCAGCATGTCTTTGGAGTGTGAGAGGAAACTGGAGTACCTGGAGGAAACCCACGCAGGCACAGGGAGAACATGCAAACTCCAGGCAGGTGGTGCCGTGGTTGGGATTCGAACCAACGACCCTAGTACTGCCAGGCGGAAGTGCTAACCATTTAGCCACTGTGCTGCCCCAGATAGTCATAGCAAGAATCAGATTGTTCTTCACCTACCAATTTTTAGTTCTCCAGCAAATGGTCTAATGTCCTAAACATTGTTCATGATTGCCATGACTTGTGAAGTGCATGATCCCCATCAGACAAGTTTACCCGTACAGTCTTCAAAACATCTGAGTTTTTTCTAATCCATGAGATTTATGAACCCGATTGGTTTGCTTAGTACATGACTATTGTTTTATTGAAGGAACCTACCCTCTGCTTAAACTCTTCTCTCTCCTCCAATGTGAGTGTGTCTGCTTTCGCAATAACCGGTACAACGTTTACAATGCGACCTAGGCGTTTCATGAACTCGAGGTCCAGCGGTCTTAGCCTGGGGGTAAGAACAGTGATAAGGTGAAGTCCCCAATAACAGCTCACAATGCAATCCACATAGAGCTGCCACAATAAGTCACAATACATACAGGGAGGTGATAGTTTTTGAAATATTTTAATACACACTAGAGGCAACTTGGGCACAGCCTGACCACACTCAGCTGTATGCTTCACCATGCCGAGAGCACACATTTATCTCAATGGAGAGGAAGGGTGGAAGAGTAAGGAAACTGGTCATTCCAGCTTACCAAGGGGAGAACAGTAAAGAATCGGAGATGTCTTCCAAGCTGCCCAACTACCTAAATAGATGTAGGGTAGTAGGCATTATCTTCTGAATCATACACAGTGGCAACTCTCAGAAACAAAACCAGCACTTTCCTTTATGGAAGGAAATCCACTACTGGAGGAAATGCTGCAAAATCTCAATCAATAACGGGAGCAGCAACAAAACTTCATTTTTGGGCAGAAAGCACAACGCCATAGGTCAGGGGTGGGCAACTGTGGCCCTCCAGCTGTTTGTGAATTACAAGTCCCATCATGCCTCTGTCTTTGGGAGTCATGCTTGTATCTGTCAGTTTTGAAATGCCTCATGGGACTTGTAGTTCTACAACAGCTGGAGGGCCACAGTTGACCAACCCCTGCGATAGGTGATGGTCATAGAACTTTGCCCCTGGAGCTAGTGGCATATAGACCTTAGTAGAAGGTGGCCATAGGTTCCATATAGAGATCCTATCATCACTTTTCTGCAAAGGCTGTCTACTCACCAGTGGCCCGTTGGGGGGGATGAAGTAAATACAGCTGTGGATGCGAGAGTCAGGAATACGACGCTTCCGGTTTACCAGAATTTCCTCTCTTAGGTATTTTTCGTACTGTTCGTGGATGTATTTGATAATCGGGTCCCAGCTGAAATGTAAAGGCAGATGGATAGTTTATATAGAGCATAGGTCTACAATCCAGAACTTGGGTGAAGGGGGAGCAAGAGTTGGGCTTTAAAGACTCCATACATAGAGCTCACTTAAGAGCATACCCCTGGGTCCACCAAATGCAATGGCACTTTTGTTTTTAAATTCTAAAGTAATATTATTAAGATCCCATAAGAAAAAAATCCCATGGAAGTTGCTAATTTGGACTCAACCTGGAACACGTATATGTATATGAGTTGTCCAGACACTCAGTACATGCATGATTGTTCTAAGGCAGTGGCTCACCAAGTAGTGAAGGATGGAAAAGGATGATGGTCGAGAACTTAGACTTTCAAGAAAATGTTGGCAGTGGCTTACTACCCAAATTTAGTCAATCACTGTTGGTTTGGAAAAGCCCAGGAAAAGCTCTAAAATATGTCACCATAGAGATGAGATATGTTCTTCATACCAATTCTGGTTGTTGATCTGATCCCCAAATCCTGGCGTGTCAATAACGGTGAGTCTCATCTCCACTCCTCGTTCCTCGATCACTGTAGAGAGAAGAGAAAGTCAGGTCTGTTCACTGTACACTTATCTGTTGGTCATAATCTTCTACTCTCCTTTCATCCAGATGTCCTTCTTCTAGCCAGACTACTAGCATTTTCAGAAGGAGGTCAGCAATCGCAGCCTCTGTATTTTCCACTTGATGGATTTACTTCAAATACAGATGAAACTCGAAAAATTGGAATATGGTGCAAAAGTTTATTTATTTTAGTGCAGCAACTTAAAAGGTGAAACTAATATATGAGATAGACTCATTACATGCAAAGCAAGATAGTTCAAGCTGTGATTTGTCATCATTGTGATGATTATGGCTTACAGCTCATGAAAACCCCAAATCCACAATCTCAGAAAATGAGAATATTCCATGCAATCAATAAAACACGGATTGTACATAGAACAATATCGGACCTCTGAAAAGTATAAGCATGCATATGTACTCAGTACTTGGTTTGGGCCCCTTTTGCAGCAATTACTGCCTCAATGCGGCGTGGCATGGAAGCTATCAGCCTGTGGCACTGCTGAGGTGTTATGGAAGACCAGGATACTTCAATAGCGGCCTTCAGCTCTTCTGCATTGTTCGGTCTCATGTCTCTCATCTTTCTCTTGGCAATGCCCCATAGATTGTCTATGGGGTTCAGGTCAGACGAGTTTGCTGGCCAATCAAGCACAGTAATCCCACGATCATTGAACCAGGTTTTGGTGCTTTTGGCAGTGTGGGCGGTGCCAAGTCCTGTTGGAAAATGAAGCCAGCATCCCCATAAAGCTCGTCTGCGGAAGGAAGCATGAAGTGCTCCAAAATCTCCTGCTAGACGGCTGCGTTGACCCCGGACTTAATGAAGCACAGTGGACCAACACCAGCAGATGACATGGCTCCCCAAATCAACACAGACTGTGGAAACTTCACACTGGACTTCAAGCATCTTGCAGTGTGTGCCTCTCCATTCTTCCTCCATACTCGGGGTCCTTGGTTTCCAAATGAGATATAAAAGTTGCTCTCATCAGAAAAGAGGACTTTGCACCACTGAGCAACAGACCAGGTCTGTTTTTCTTTAGCCCAGGTAAGATGCTTCTGATGTTATTTGTTGTTCAGGAGTGGCTTGACAAGAGGAATACGACATTTGAAGCCCATGTCCAGGATCTGTCTGTGTGTGGTGGCTCTTGATACACTGACTCCAGCCTCAGTCCACTCCTTGTAAAAGTCCCCAACACTTTTGAATGGCCTTTTGCTAAAAATATTCTCCAGGCTACGGTCATCCCTGCTGCTTGTGCACCTTTTTCTTCCACACTTTTCCCTTCCACATAACTATCTATTAATGTGCTTTGATACAGCACTTTGGGAACATCCAACTTCTTTTGCAATTACCTTTTGAGGCTTTCCCTCCTTATGGAGGGTGTCAATAATGGTTTTCTGCACAACTGTCAGGTCAGCAGTCTTTCCCATGATTGTGATTCCTACTGAACCAGACTGAGAGCCCATTTAAAGGCTCAGGAACCCTTTGCAGGTGTTATGGCTTAATTAGCTGATTAGAGTGGGACACTTTGAGCCAAGAATATTGCACCTTTTCACAATATTCTCATTTTCTGAGATTGTGGATTTGGGGTTTTCATGAGCTGTAAGCCATAATCATCACAATGATGACAAATCACGGCTTGAACTATCTTGCTTTGCATGTAATGAGTCTATCTCATATATTAGTTCACCTTTTAAGTTGCTGCACTGAAATAAATGAACTTTTGCACGATATTCTAATGTTTTGAGTTTCACCTGTATATATATTTCCTAGAAATATACACATTAGAATAGGTCAAAGGGCTCGGGCCCTAGTTGCAAAGAAAGAAAGTCTGTCTGAAAGGGAACTGCTTTCTATGTAATATATATATATATATATATATATATATATATATATATAGTGAAGTTTGGAGTCGTATAGCTCAAGTGTAGTGCCTGCTAGCGAGTACAGTCTACACCAAAAATTTTCATTTAAGGGCCAGTTGGCCTACTTTTATGTAAAGGAGATTTCACACAAAGTTCCATAAAGCATAATCCATGGTTTCCCACACAGGGGATCTTCACCGTTAACAAAAAATAAAAAAAATATCCAGCCTCCTGGCTCACTTTAGTAAAGAATTAGTTACACAGCCTCCTGGCTTACACATACCCAGGGCTTTTTTTCAGCGGGAACGCAGGGGAACGCAGTTCTGGCACCTCCAGCACTGAATGTATGTAATGGCTAAGGGTGCTGTGATGTGCTGGAGGATCTATTGTTGCTAGATGCTGGGGGACTTATTGTCACTGAATGGGATCTGTTTTTGTGTGGTGGTCTATTGTTGCTGGGGAGGTATGTTGTTGCTGGTGGGGGATCTATTGTTGATGGGCCTTTTGTTGCTGGAAGCGATTTACTGTTGAGGGAGTGTTCTATTGTCTATTGTTGCTGGCTGCTGTATAGATAGAGTATGGCTATGGTGGGGGTCTATTGTTGCTGTGTTGGTATTTTGTTTTGGGGGCCCAATGTTGCTGGAGCAATCTATTGTTGCTGGGGGGGGAGGGGAGGGGAGGGGTCTATTGCTGTTGACTATGGGGGATCTATTTTTGGGATTTTATTGTTATTAAATTTCATACTAATTATTTAGCACCACAAAATGATACTTGGCTCTGTATTCTCTAAAAGGAGAGATATTGGGAGGTGGGTAAGGGGGGTGGAACCAAGTGACAGTGCTTGCAGGTAGGTAGGGAGGCAGAGACAAGAAGTGACTCAGAAGGGGGGAGATCCTGTACCTATTTATTGAGAAAAAAAGCTCTGTACATACCACAGTGCTGCTTAGATCTTCCACTTTAAACCCTCGTCTGTCTCCCACAGACCATTTCTTGCCAACACCTGTCCACATAGATAGCGGCCCCTTGCTGCTCTGGCCCTCAGGCTTGGGTCTCTGTCTTTTCCAGCACAGACATGCACCTCTCTGGCTGCTCCCTTGCCCAGCTGGACTCCATGGGAGGAGGGAGCCCAGAACCCTGGCCATGTCACTAATAGCCCAGCACACACCAGACCAATCAGTGTGCTGGTGGTTCCGAATGCCTGGACCCAGGGCTGGAGATTCCATCCCACCCGGATCGCTTTTAAATCTCCGGGCTCCAAGTCCCAAAAATGGACTTTACAGACAATGAGAAAACAGAAATGCCAGTTTCCTTCTAATCAAGCAAACCCCCTGGAGCCCCTCAACCTGCCTGGTTGAAAATTCTGGGTTAACATTACCTTGGTGGGACATTGCACTGCCACAATATATACAGAAATGTAATGTGATTGGCTCACTGATTTTCCCAGAAGTCTGTACTAAGATACAGGTCAAATTTTAGGCATCCAGTCCAAGACATTACTACATGCTTAATTGCTTCAAAAGGGTTGCAGACCCTGTCATTTTCCTCATTAGAACACTGCAAGTGCACCAGTTGATTAATAATGAAAAAGTCACCCCCTTTCAGAATCAGGTATCCAAAAAACATAGGAGGACAAACAGCTTTTTTCTTCAGAGCAGAAACGAAATAGGAATCTGCAACAAAGTTTGTTAAAATCTTTGCAATTTACATAGATCACCCAGAGGGGATTGTTTTATTCTCAGCTAAGTTACTCTTTATCTGCATTGTATTGCCTTTATTTAATGACCCTGATGGACTTGAATGAGAAAAACACAAGACAACATACTAAGAATACAGGATAAGGGACTTTTCCCCAACACATCACAATGTAACACATTGGTTTAAGCAGGTCTTATTAAAAACAAAGTACATTGTTTGGACAAAAGTTTGCTGGTACCGAACCATGGACATTCATATGGAGCTGACCCCCTTCCTCGTAGCTATAACAACTTTCTCTGAGGTTTTCCACAAGATTTTCGAGTGTGTCTATGGGAATTTGTGCCCACTCAGCCAAAAGAGTATTGCTTAGGTCAGGTACTGATGTTGGATAAGACCAGGCCTGCATTCCAATTCATGGCAATGGTACTCAGTAGGTTAAAGTCAGGGCTCAGTGCAGGACAATCAATTTCCTCCACACCAAACTCATCAAGCCATGTCTTTATAGAGATATTAGATGAGGGGACTTGGCTCACTCCAATTCATCCCAAAGATGTTTGATGGGGTTGAGCTTAGGGCTCTGTGCAGTACACTCAAGTTCTTCCACACCAAACTTATCAAATCATGTCCAGGGGCGGACTGACCATTTGGAAACTCGGGCACTGCCCGAGGGCCTGGGGTCAGTAGAGGGCCCCATGAGATGCCCCTGGTACCTTTTTCATAGGCTTTTTTGAGTTTGGTCAAGGACACAGGGGCCCCATGATCCCCTATTGCCCGGGGGCCCCATGAGTTGTCAGTCCACCCCGATCATGTCTTTATGGCGATGTTGGATGAGAGGACCTGGCTCATTACAAATCATCCCAAAGGCATTGGTAGGGTTGACATTAAGGCTCTGTGAAGGACACTCAACTTTCTCCACACCAAACTCATCAAAACTTGTCTTTATGGAGATGTTGGATGTGAGGACCTGGCTCATTCCAATTAATTCCAAAGGCATTTTGGTGGGGTTGAGGTTGGGGCTCTGTGCAGGACACCCATGTTCCTCTACACCAAACTTATCTAACCATGTCTTTATGGAGATGTTGGATGAGAGGACCTGGCTCATTCCAATTAATTCCAAAGGCATTTGGTGGGGTTGAGGTTGGGGCTATGTGCAGGACACGCTCGTTCTTCTACACCAAACTTATCTAACCATGTCTTTATGGAGATGTTGGATGAGAGGACCTGGCTCATTCCAAATCATCCCAAAGGCATTTGGTAGGGTTGACATTAAGGCTCTGTCCAGGAGGACACTCAACTTTCTCCATAGCAAACTCATCAAAACTTGTCTTTATGGAGATGTTGGATGAGAGGACCTGGCTCATTACAAAGGCATTTGGTAGAGTTGACAGTAAGGCTCTGTCCAGGAAACTCAACTTTCTCCACACCAAACTCATTAAAACTTGCCTTTATGGAGATTTTAGATGAGGGGACCTGGCTCATTCCAATTAATTCCAAAGGCATTTGGTGGTGTTGAGGTTGTATGTGCAGGACACTCACGTTCCTCTACACCAAACTTATCTAAGCATGTCTTTATGGAGATGTTGGATGAGAGGACCTTGCTCATTCCAATTCATCCTAAAGGAATTTGGTACGGTTGAGGTCAAAGCTCTGTGCAGGACACTTATCTCCACACCAAGCTGATAAAAACATGTCTTAATGGAGATGTTGAATGAGAGGACCAGTTCATCCCATCCCAAAGGCATTCAGTAGGGTTGAGGTCAGGGCTCTGTGCAGACCACTCAAGTTCCTCCACACCAAACTCAGAAAACCATGCCTTTATGAAGCTGGTTTTGTACACAGAGTCATGCGGGAACAGAAAAAAGTCCTTCACCAAACTGTTACCACAAAGTTAGAAACACACAAATGACTAAAATGTCTTTGTATGCTGTAGTATTAACAGTACCCTGGAGTGGAGACATCTGTATTTGGAGGGGATTCACAAACGTTTGGTCATATAGCGTGGATTTGATAGCCAGCTGTCTACAACATAGAGTGTATTTTGTCCCATTTTGTTTAGCAGGACCATTTCTCACCCTGACTGATGGCTTTTAATTCCAGTGTTTTAGGGATTCCGGCACCGGGAGTCTTGCGAATCACTTTGGATTTGAACAGAGTATTCACCAATGTGGATTTCCCCAAACCGCTCTGACCTGAACAAGAAAAATTCAAACAGAAGTTAGGAAAAACCAAACGCATACAAAAAAAGTCAAAAGGGTAAAGCAACCAATCAAAAGTACGATTTTTTTGAAATTTAGCATATGTTATTTTTTTAATTGTTTGCATTTGTAGAAAGCGAATTCTGAAAGTGGTAAATGTTTACAAAGCAGAAGAGGGAAGATGGAGACGTGTTTGGACGGGGAATGACAAACCAAAGGAACAGAAAGTCAGCTACTTCTACTGAGAGCAGAGCAAGACCTGGAGTCTGTTTAGTTTTATGGCTCTCAGATTGTATGAACCCGCCTACAGACATGAGATATATTCCCATGGCACTCCATCCTGGGTAAAGCCTGGATTATGAGGGTGCTGCTACGACCAAATGGCCACCCAGTGTCATCAGAAATATAGTATGGGGGAGATTTATCAAAACACAGAATCTGGTAGAGCTGTGCATAGTAACCAATCAGCTTCCAGGTTATACCCAAGGTTCACACCTATGCAGGTTGCGTTTGTGCCATTTCTGCATTGAGTTTTGTGTTTTTGCACTTGCGTTTTGACACGTTTTGCAGGATTTTTTTATTTTTCTTGTTGCTAGGCAGATTTAAAATGCAAAACACACATCAAAAACGTGTAAACAATGCATAAGAAATGCAATACATGCTTTTCTGCAACGTTTCCATTGAAGTCTATAGAACCAAAAACGCAACTTTTTGCATTCAGAAAAGTCCCTGACCCTCTCCAAAATTTGCACCGGCTGAAAACGCGAAGATGTGAACGTGCCCCGTAGGAAATCATGTTAAATCGACTGTACTGCGTTTCTGCAAAACGCTGCGGAAAATGCTTAGGTGTGAACCCGGGGTTAGGCTAGGTTCACACCTATGTAGTTTGCGTTAGATCCATTTCTGCAATACGTTTTTGATGCGTTTTTCGTTTTTTTTTTTTCCAACTTGTAGCTAGGCAGAATAAAATGCAAAACTCATCAAAAAACGCATCAAAAACACGTAAAAAAGTATCAAAAATGCACTACATGCTTTTTTGCAGTGTCTCCATTGAAGTCTATAGAACCAAAAACGCAATGTTTTGCGTTTAAAAAAGTCCCAGAGCCCAGGTTCACACTGATGCAGTGCGGAGTCCGCAGCGTTTTCAGTGCGAATTCCACACCGCATTACAATCGCACTGCGTTAATGCAAACCGCTGCGGGTGTGTATGTTAAGTTAACGACACTCTGAAATCGGTCAGCAAAACGCGGTGCGATGTGCAGAATCGGATCACATAGGTGTGAATACCCATGCAATCCGATTATAGTGCGGACCCAAAAAAGGGTCCTGCACCTTTTTTGGTGAGGGTGCGGTGCGACTAGAGCCATACAAAGTTTATGGCTCGAATCACACCGCACAGAATTTGCATGTGATTTGCACAGCAAGGCGGTGCGGTTCCTGTGCGAATCACATGCGATATACCACACTGCATATATGTGAACCCGGGCTCATGCCTAGAACACACAAGGAGAACATCGAACGAAAAATCCTGCTTTTGGAGCAATCATCCGATAATCTGAACCCAGGCTCACACTTTCCAAAATACACACCAGGTGAAAACGCGGAGCTGTGAACCGGTCCCATAGGAAATCATGTTAAATGGACTGCTGTGCGTTTCTGCAAAATATGAACCTAGACTTACACCCCGGTCACCTCGGGTGCGACTTGGCATGCGATTTGCATGCCCTGAGACTTGAAAATCGCATGCCAAATCGCACCCTATTGTCCACAATTACAGCGGTCATATCAGTGCGGTTCTGACTTGGTCATGCACTACTTTTGGTGCGACTTGCATAGATATCTGTGTCAGATGTTTATGCAAATCGCACCTCAAATCAGCATGTCACCCAACTTTGAAATCGTGTGAATCACTGTAAGTCGCATGATTTCAAAGTCGGGCTTGATGTGATCAAGCTGAAGTTAGAAGCGGATTGGTTACTATGCACAAATGCAGCAGATTCTGTGCGCACACCCCCTGATAGGTTGCAATCACACCATGGAACTACAGAACATTTGTTAAAGGGATCACATCAAATGCAAGAGCCGCACTCCTTCACCAGACGGGACCAGGGGATCCTGCACTGCACTGAAATGTTGCATTGATTGTGAAATATTCCTCACTTTCCTCTTACTTCCCCTTGTATCTACAAGACGGGAAGTAAAGAGAAATGTTATGAGTGGGACACAAACAATAAACAAAAAAAACTCATTGGGGTTTTAACTCAGTCCATACTCAATCCAAAAAAAAAGGATTTAGATACACTTTTAAAGTTTATTCAGCTTATTTTTTGCCATCCTCGGTTTTTACCATCCCCCCCACCCTCAAACAACATGCTAATAAGATCACTCCTTGCAATATCTAATTGTAGGCCCAGTGATGTGATTACTGGGTCCCTGTGCTTCACTATGCAAAGCAGGCAGATCATAGCTGGTGGGAAGGGCCAAAAGAATGCTGTACATTGCTTCCTGACAGCACCCTGCCTCAGTACTCCTAACGAGCCCTCAGGTCTAATGGAAGCTGGGGAAGGAGTTATTCAAATAATAAAGGCCTTGATGGGTGGGTGTCGGTCTAGGGGAGGGGGCGTTCCTAGGGAGCCTAGGTAACGCCCACATGTGATGCTGAGCCTATTTGATTGAAGGAACTAAGATCCAATGAATGGAAGGGGCAGACCAGGGACAAGGAAAAGTCTAGAATAGGGGTGGCCAACTCAATTGCATGGTGGGCCGCATCAGCATTATGGTTGCCCTCAAAAGGACGGTTGTAGACTAGATGTCCAGAGCACCCCCCCCATATCCGAGGTCAAGAGTCCCCCACCCTCCCTTACATCACAGTGTACCCCCATTACCTTGTGCTGCCGCCAGGAAAAAGCTAGAGGCAGAGCTGGGAAGCAGAACGTGCAGGGTCTGGAGGAGGACCAAAGGAGGGCTGGAGTGAGCTGCTGAAGTCTGCAGGGGAGGTGGAGACAAGGGGGGTGCTGCAGCTGCACAGAGATGTGCAGGATTTGTAGGAGGAGTTCTGTCCTCTCTGCTGCCAATTGCTGAGACCAAGGATGCAAAAATGAGCCTCTCTGTGGCTGCATGGAGAAGAGCAGAATCTGGCAGAGGAGATGAACAGGATCTGGCAGAGGAGATCTGCCCTCCTCTCTTCAGTTGACTGCTGAGACAAGGTGGAGACAAGGGAGTGCCACCGCTGCAGGAGAGGTCTGAGGGACACATGCAATGGCTTGGAGGGCTAGATTTGGCCCTCGGGCCTTGTGTTTGACACCTGTGGTCATAGATGATGAATAGATGATGCAGGACATCCTCCAGCCAGGAAACGAGACGGGCTCTATCGGGCTTGTTGCAGCTTCTAATGCACATTGTGAGAATCTCCCAGTGTGCAGTGAAATCAGAGGAAGTAATTGCAATGCAGGAGAGAAGCCGGTACAACCGCGAAGGCTGGAGGTCAGATTTAGGCTCGGCTCACACTGCAGCGACTTTGGATCCGACTTGTGAGACTCCAAGTCACATGACATGTGAAATCCCACTTTAGAAAAGGTTCCTGAACTACTTCAAGGCGACTTCTATCCGACCTGTGCCCATAGACTTTAATGAAAGTCACCGCCAAGTTGGATCCTCATCTATATTGGTGGGATTTGGATCCGACATTACAGGAGGATTACCCAGCATTCCCTGAAAGTTGCATCAAAATAGTACTCAAGTCACCTGACAAGGTCGCACTGTAAGTCATGGGACTTTAGGTCGCAGTAGTGTGAACGGACACTTAGCCCGGGTTCACACTGATGAGGTGCGGAATTTGCAGCGTTTTCTGGCTCCTCCAATTTGTAATCGTGTCGTCACGCCATCGGAGCATCGTGGAGCTCCGGCGGCCATCTTTACTTGTGGACGGTCAGTCCCTTTGCTTTTCACTCTGACATATCAATGTTTTTATCTGATTGATGCATCATTAATAAATCTTTTACAACATACTACACTATGGGCATTTTCCTGCTTCACTCCCTGGTGGAGTATTAACCCCCCCAGACGCCCAGTACCAGCCTCAAGATCCCCGAGAGGGAGCCTCCTGTTACTCCAAGAGCGGCACCCATCCATCCCTTAAGGGGAGCTCTGGACACCCTTGGATCATCATTTAAGATTCCTGGATTCATCTTTACCAGACCCCATTCTGATGATCCTCTGATGATCCTTAGATGACACCAGGAGATATATCATAACGCGCATTATTATAGTGCGTCCGGTGAGTGCGCATTTCTTCTGTTTTATCTAAAGCACAAGCACTGACCAGGATATACAAGACCACTAAGAGCACGATTTTATCATTTATATGAACTATTATTATATTTGATTTATTTATATCATATGGACTTTGCACCTTTTACTTAATGTTAGCGCTGCACTTTACATATACAGTGGGGATCGAAGGTTGGGGCACCCCAGCTAAAAATTTGTATTAATGTGCATAAAGAAGCCAAGGAAAAATGGAAAAATCTCCAAAAGGCATCAAATTACAGATTAGACATTCTTATAATATGTCAACAAAAGTTAGATTTTATTTCCATCATTTACACTTTCAAAATAACAGAAAACAAAAAAATGGCATCTGCAAAAGTTTGGGCACCCTGCAGAGTTAATATCTTGTACTGCCCCCTTTGGCAAGTATCACAGCTTGTAAACGCTTTTTGTAGCCAGCCAAGAGTCTTTCAATTCTTGTTTGAGGTATCTTTGCCCATTCTTCCTTACAAAAGTCTTCCAGTTCTTTGAGATTTCTGGACTGTCTGTCACGCACTGCTCTTTTAAGGTCTATCCATAGATTTTCAATTATGTTGAGGTCAGGAGATTGTGAAGGCCATGGCAAAACCTTCAGTTTACGCCTCTTGATGTAATCCCCCGTGGATTTCGAGGTGTGTTTAGGATCATTATCCATTTGTAGAAGCCATCCTCTCTTTAACTTCAGC